GTCAACATTTTTCCTTTCAGTTAGTTTCTGCTCTTGTGCCTGATGTGGTTTGGTGTTTTTTTTTTACTCTGTTGTTCCTCCCCACCTTCTTTTTTTCCCACCTTTTCCTAATTGTGAAGGGAACATTTCTTGTTTATCCCATCTGATCTCTGGAACTATACTCTGAGTCAGTCAAGTCCTTTTGTAAAGTACCTTTGTCAGTAGGACGCTAAGGAGCTGTTCTGTGTAGGTCAAATCTTGAATTCTTTAATTCAGGCAAATTCCAAATTCTCTTTAAAGCCCATGAAAGACTTAATAAGAATGCAACAAAAATAATTTTTACTTATTTATTGTTTATTATTGTTATAGTCACAAGTCTGCATGCACTTGATGAGTGATAGTTCCTTTTGCCTAGATTATATTTTGGCGTGGTCATGTAAAAATCGGAGTAAAAATTTAGCGAAAGCAAACAGCTGAAACATAATTGAGAAAGTATGATGACGTTCGCTATGTCAAAGCAGTTCTCCTTCTCTTCCTGTTAAGAAATCTTCAAAACTGATTTTACAGGCACTGGATGAACCAAAATTGCTTTAGATCTGAACAAATATGATTTTAGATCCTCAAAGATCACTGAGGGATGCTTAATGCTTTTCTAAACTAGATGTGAGCTAATATGCAGAATTTCTACCCAGAATCCCTACTTGCAGAGTGGAGCATTGCTGGAGTCAAATAAGCACTGGAACAGGTTGCCCAGGGAAGCTGTGGATGTCCCATCCCTGGAAGTGTTCAAGGCCAGGCTGGATGAGGCTTTGAGCAACCTGGTCTAGTGGAAGGTGTCCCTGCCCATGGCAGGGAGGTTGGAACTCAATGGTCTTTAAGGTCCCTTCCAACTCAAACCATCCTGTGATTCTAGGAAATAAGTTTCTGGCATGCTGGGTGAAATCAAGCATGAAGCAATAAACACTTACTGTTGTTACACATGATTATTAAAATTACTGAGAATAAAATAAGGGTAAACTAAGCTATTTTAAAGGTACAGTTAATTCAGCTATTTTCCCTGAACTGGCAATTTCCTATACCTACAGGAATCCTTAATACAGCAATAGGCAGGGACCATTCTTTTTTCTGGGAGGAGAAAAGTCCCCCCCAAACCCGGATAAAAACACAGACTGGTTAAGGTAATTTCTGAACACATGTCCATTCAGAGCGGAGTTTCATTAAGGAGTTTAAAGTAGAACGTGGTAAAGTGAAATGTATAGTTTATGAATGCCAGGTGTTAAAGGCCTTTTTAATCTCTCTAATTTTAGCTCTAAGTGAAGAAAACTGATCATAGTTTCTTTTTCCCTATAATTCAGAAAGCCGTTTTGTTAGAGATGAGAAAGCGTAACCTACATAGTAGATACTGCAGGATGTCTATCAAAAGGGATTGGCATTAATTAAATAGATGAAGCTAAACTAATAATTAAAAAGTAGTTTCCCTCTTTTTTTTTCTAACATTAAAAATTGTGTAGGAAAACTTCACCTTTCCCATCTCATCATCAATTTTGATTTACTTTAAAGATTTCCCAGCTTCTGCTGTGGCACAAATCACACAGCTGTAATCAAGAACGAAATGTGGGCCAAAGAATTTCTAACGTTTGAATTCAGTTCCTACATATAGCCTATATAAAGTCTTTAAAGGCCTTCTAGTTTATATTGCTTAGTCTCTGAGAAAATGTACCTACTGAAGCATTTTTATTTGGGGCGAAGTGGGTAAATAATGTCACTAATCTAGTTGTTCCCTCTTTTGTATTTTCTAGGGTAAATACATAGTCTGCATAGACCCTCTGGACGGCTCATCAAACATCGACTGCCTTGTTTCCATTGGGACCATCTTTGCCATCTACAGAAAGGTAAAATGCTTTCACGTCAGACAGGAGACGCTATTATTGTGCAGCTTTGGATGAAATGTAATTGCATGTGAAGACAATAAAATCTAACTAAACTTGTTCGTGAAAGAGACTTTCAGGACCAGCTTTAAGTTAAATCTGCTATTTCACAGACATTTGTGTAAAATATTTGTGAGGGATTTGCATTACTGCCTTAGAAGATGAGGTATATATATGTACATGGAAGCTTGGCTGATATTTAATTAACCAGCTCAAGGAATTACCCCTTACAAATCAGGTCTTAAATTTCATGAATATTTGTACTGGCAAAAATACCATGTGGTTGTGGTCTGCTCGGGGAATGTCCTTTCAGGTTTCCTTGTTCTCTGTACTACTAGTCCTGTTAGCCTGGGGACAGGCGTCAAACACAAACGAGAGCTGATGCATGGCATGTGCATTTGAACTGTCTAATTCACTCTGAAAGGCAGAAACCTTGTCTGAAGGAGCTTGAAATACTGGACTTACGTGTCACAGGTGGCTGAAAAAGTCAGTCAGATAACACACACCCAACTGTCCATTTTGATCATCTTTTGCATGTTGTCATACGTCCTAAAGGAAGTATTTTCAACTTCATTTTTGTATAAAGCAAAGGAAAACAGAAAAAATCCCATTACTTTTGGTCACCTGTGAACTCTGTGACTCATGTTTAATTGCTTGCGTTTCATCCGTGCCTTGGAGTTTTCTTCTGAGCTGTGTTCATCATCATATTCAAGGAGTTACACAGCTCTATATTATCTCCTTAATCCTTTCCTGTTTCCTGCATTCCAACTAGGTTTATACAAAAGCATTTCTAGATTGATGTGTTTGTCTCCTCCATATAATTTGTATTAGTGCATCCAGTAGGAATCTCAGTTGTGGATCATGGACGCATTAGTGCCACTTCATGCATGGATATGGAGTAGAAGACCCAGAGAGTCCAGTTATGTACCAGCTATAGAAACGGAGTAAAGCTGACTATGCTCCTTCTAATTCTAGGTGTCCCCTGATGAACCTTCTGGGAAAGATGCTTTGCAACCAGGGCGTAATCTTGTGGCAGCTGGTTATGCTCTCTATGGGAGTGCCACAATGCTGGTACTGGCCACTTCTGCTGGAGGCGTCAACTGTTTCATGCTGGATCCGGTGAGAATGTCGTTTCTGTCTTTGTTTCTTTATGAGGGATAAAAAGGTACTGTCTATGTGAACTGCTTGTTCCCCAGAAAAATCGAACAAAGGAGCAGTTTTCAAGCTCACGTGGAGAAATTAAGTACACTTAATAACCCATCAGCAAAAACGTTGAGAGATTTTTGCATTCTGCCTTCCCCCTGCAGCGGTGCTGTGTGTGATTCAACAATGGGAAGACAGCCTAGTCCGTGAAGCAAATACACGGCATGTGCCACATCATGTGATACTAAAAATGAGCTGTTTTCTGCAATGCAGAAGGCCCTTTAAGACTTGTTTGTCTTTTCCTTAACGCTAGGACCTTAGTAAGCCAGAGAAGCAGAAATATTTAACCACCTTCTGTGTTTTCAGATTCCACCATGATGTGTAAAAGAGTAAGTGACGTGTGTGGGTGCGTTTGATGTTCTAGCATGCGTTGACCGTGTGAGTTTTAAAATAAAAGTCATATTGATCACAGCAGAAAGTAGTTTGCATTAGTGACTCTTTTTTTTGTAATCAGTTAGTCAGGCTGTGCCACCTGGCAGTAGTAGTTTTTTACAACCTGTGGTGTTCAAGCAGCAGGAAACATAAATTGGTGCTCCCTGTTAATTAACAGCTTAAGTAGCTGCATGTATTTTTGTTTACATTCAGATAGCAGATTTAGCTTTGAGCATGTGTGCATGTTATTTTGTTTATTTTTACCACTAACTTGGAGATGTAGTTTACTGAAAACTAAACAGAGCAGACCTTGTTTACAGAGATTGTGTCTCTTGACTCCAGGCTTCCAGTTAGCCCAACCTAAGATGAACTGGAATTTATTAGTATCTGCACCCATTTGAAGATGTTTAGGCATTGCTTCAACCAGCACTCTCGGTTTCCAAACTTGTCAGAGCTGTACTTTTATTTTAAGTCTAGCAAGAGAGCAGTGGGCCAAATATAAACTCACAGGCAACATTTTTTGGCATAGAAAAGTGATAGAGAGCTGGGAATAGTAGTATGAAGAAGCTTGCATGACCCGGGATTCATTCTCAGTCAGTGGTTTATGGATAAACAAAAGACTTCACCTCTAGGCTGCAAATACCACATTTTCATAGGTGCTGAATTATTAAAGAAAGTGGCAACTGTAGTAAACTTTTCCTAAATTGTGTGCATGATTGGTTTTTGCCTTGGCTGGTAAATAAATGAGCAATTAACTTTAACAAATTGTTTTTCTCTCTTATTGTTAGGCAATTGGAGAATTCATTTTGGTGGATAGGGATGTGAAAATCAAAAAGAAGGGAAACATCTACAGTCTCAATGAAGGCTATGCTAAATACTTCGATCCTGCAGTCACAGAGTATCTCAAAAAGAAGAAATTCCCTGAGGTAAAAGATCCTGTTTCAGAGAAACTTTCTGATGACAAGCAACACTCATAATTTCCAACTTTATGATAAAATGCTGTCTCGTGCACTGTTTAGAGCTTGTTTTCCTTTCTCGTCCATTTAAAACATATCTTCATGTAGGACTGATAATTAGAGCAGCCGTTGATGTGACCAGATATTTCACCATCCTTCAGTACTGCGCTGCATCTCTTCTGTACCTTTTTTTTCCCTTTCCTTCTTTTCAATTTTGTAAAAATCTTCCTTCCTGGCTGGGAGCCCGAGTAACAGTGCTGGAGGCAAAACCAGGTGTTTGGTAGTCAGGCAGAGGCAGCCTGATCTGGTGATAAAGAAATTTGATTGACACGTGTGTTAGGTTGCTGCTTCCTCACTGCAGCATCCGGGCAGACGGAGAGCCGAGCAGGGACGGCAGTGGGTCATTGCTCAGTGGTAACACAAGCAGAGTCCTGAGCGGGCCTCTCACTTGAAAAGCTGATGCAGTTTCAGGGGCTGCTTTGTCCAGTTTCCCGGTGTCAGGAGGCCTGGAGCTCTAAGGAGTCACCGTAAAAATCATGTCTGTTCTCATGCCTTACGTCTGTCATCACTGGAGTTATTACGTGGACAACGAAGTGTAAACATTTACTGTTGTTAAGTGTTTGTGTCCCTTCTTGACTTCCTGATCTTGCTTTGAACAAAGACTGGTGTTTTCATCTGGCATCTTGCCAGCCTTAAGGTGTTGTTTATTTAGATATTAAAATGTACGCTCTGAAGTATTATAAGTAAACAATATCAGTAGTCAACTATTAACTTTTTCAAATAAGTCATAGAAGCTGTCAAAACCAGATAGAAATAGGGAAGATCACTTCTTTTGCCCCATGGTGTTTTATTTTGCTACAAAAGAAAACAAAAAAAACCCCAACAAAACCACCAATTCCTAGCACTTGATCTTTTTGCTACTAGAAATGCAGTATTTTCCAAGGGTTAGAGCATTAATGGAGAGCTAGGATGCATTTTCTGTTGTTGGCACTACCACTCATCTATCCTGAAATCTTCTGTCAGTCTTTTTCCTTGGATTTTCCCAATTAGAAAATAAGGAGGAAACTGAGTTCTCCAAAACTACTTTAAATATTATCAATTAATTACAGTATGGAGGGATTAGATGTTAAGACCACTGAGGGGATTGGGGGGGATGGGGTGTGTAATAATCTGGTGTGCTTGAAAGTTACCAGAAAGAAATGTCTTTCTGTAGGATGGCAGTTCACCATATGGTGGGAGGTACATAGGATCGATGGTGGCTGACGTGCATCGCACGCTAGTGTATGGAGGAATCTTTCTGTATCCTGCCAACTCCAAAAGTCCCAAAGGAAAGGTAAACCTGAATAAGCCAAATTATACAAAATATTACATTATCTGGATACTTCACTATCACAGAACAATATTTTGATTGCTGAACATGCTTTTATTATAACATGGTAGCTTGCATCTCTGGTGTGTGGGTACGGCCATCCCTTGCACACTGTCACGAATGACTGCAACTTGTTGTCAGACACCTCTTTCAGGGCTGGTGCTAACCTATTTCAACTGTACTGATGTCTCTTTATCCCCAAACATTTTCACATTATGGGAAGTGCCAGGGAATGTGCTGTTTAAATGGGCTTCTCTGCACCATCTCAACCCTAACCCTGCTGGCCCCAACCAAGCATATTACAAAGCAAACCACCCAGATTACCCTGAGATTCCTATTACAAGCTGGTACGTAAGAAGCCTAAATGTAGCGTGTTCCCATTACGAGAAGCTCTGCCAAAGAGAAAACCATCTGCATCGTTCATGGGGACGCTGCCTTGGCCCGGATGACAGTTGGCCAGGGAAGATCACACACTTACAGCCTGACAAGAGGACTGTTTATTCAGCAAAGACCTTTCATCTGTTTTGTAATGGTCCGTAAATTATTGCTTCAGGTTGCAGATAAGATGCAGTTATTCATTAGAGAAAACTAATGGCGCACTCAGGGCCAATGTTTTTCTTTTTTTCATGCAGGCCTGCGTGGTCTGCTGCCTTGTTAAAACTCACGTGTAAGACACAACCTTTTTTCTCTGTGTAAAGGGCACAATGCAAACATGAGCCTTGTAGAAAGCGTTCAAACTGGGCAAATCCAATATTCACCATGTTTTGTTTAAAAGAAAAATCCACACAATTTCATTCTTGAGTCAAAAGTTTGTATGAAATATGGGTACTTGGAGTGTTGATTGGTTATAAATCAAACGCCAAATATATGTACCTTTCATGACTCTCAGTATTGGCTGGACTGACCATTGCCATTTTGATTTTTGTCTTCCAGCTGAGACTGCTCTATGAATGCAATCCTATGGCTTTTGTTATTGAGAAGGCTGGGGGAATAGCAACAACTGGACATCAACCAATACTAGATATAGTGCCTGAGGATATCCACCAAAGAGTGCCTGTTGTCTTGGGATCTCCTGATGATGTGAAGGAGTACCTTGAGATAGTCAAGAAGCATTCAGCTAAGTAAAGAAAGCTTGCTGCAGTCACCGTGCAGATGGGGATAAATGCCTTACAGCTGAACCAAAGAGTACACTGCAGTACTACAAGACTGAACTGTCTGACCTCTGTAGGAAGAGAGCAAATGAGCCGTATTTTCATAGGGTTTTTTAAAGTGAGATCTTGTGCAATTGCATTGTGCAATGAGAGGCATTAAAAGATTGCATTAAAGGAAGCATTGAAAGTAAAAGCAATGGAAAAATATGTTTGCTTTTTCATTTATCATTTGTAATTACACAAAAGCCACTATGCTAAAAGGAAATACTGTGTTGCATTCAGTAACTGGGGGAAGACAACTTTCTCAGACAAGCTACAGGCTATCACTAGAATATCTGACTCTGTCCTCTTCTAAAAATCTTGGGGACAAGACTCAGCAGCCTCTTACGGTGCGTGACCTTTCCTAGACCAGTCTCCAATTCTTTGGCAATGATGGCAGTGATGAGCTGACTAAATTTGCCAGAAATTAACCTACTTGCTTGATGAAAAAATACGAACTTGCTAGCAATCCCCACCAGGTGTTCTTTGTGATATTTTGGGAGTGTGCATTACCATAGGAAAAGACCTGCTGCGCAAGCAAAAGCCAGTTGCGAGGATCCCCACAAAGCATACTGACATTTAATACGCTGATTCAGAGCGTGCTGCTGGGAACACGACGTTAGTGCTTGGGAGTTGGGTGGGCTGTCCACCTGTCCGGGTACAGTTTATGGCGGTGGCTGACAAGCTTTTTGAATCCGCACAGATTTGCAAATCTTTGACATTTCTCACTGCCCACTCACCTTTGCCAAACTCAAGCTCAGGGACACGTGGATGTTGCTGATGGGTAGACTGCCACGAAACGTTCCCTCAAGCCATGGTCTGGGAGTCCTGTCTACGGGTACAGTAGGCTATAAACCTGCCCGTCTGAGGATCTGGCACACATCAGTGCAGATAGCCTGTCTGAGCCTGGTTCCTGTAAAACAACAAGAAAAGAGTGGGGGGGAATCCAGGGGCCATGGTCCGAAGGCATGCTCTGCAAGGGCTCATGTGCAAGGAAACCTGGGGGCCCTGTTCTGACACAGGTTGCGTGTGGGGCATTTGGAGGCATGGTGGCAAACCTTAGATGGGTTTATATATGCATCTGTACTCCAAAGTGATAGGGGACGAGGCATTTCTTGCAGGGTCCAAATGGCCTAATTTCTGCTGAAAATGCTGTTTCTCTTGAGGTTTTGTTAGTGAAGACAGGGGCTTTCAGGGACCTGAGCCCTTAAAGGCTTGGGACAGTCCTGGAAATCTCCACAGAGCTCTTGTTCTTCTTGCACACTCACTTGTCATGCCGTGAGGGCCTAAGTCTGGCCCTGCCCAGGATCTGGCTCCTCGGTAGGCCAACCTCTGCTCTGGGAAGTGAGCAGACCATGGTTTACTGTGCCTGATATGCACCTGCAAAATCAGGCACCCCACAAACAGCAAACATGCAGCATTCTGCCTAATTTCTCATTAATTCCCCCTGGGAGAGAGCTCAGACCTACATCTCCCAGTGGGGTGCCCTTGTTGCCAGTCTGGGGGCCAGCCCGGAAGGAGAGGTTTACTACCCCGACCCGTAAGTGCTGTGGGCATGATGTGAGAGAGGACTTTGTGTGACTGGGCAGTGAGTGGGACAGCCATGTGCCAGCCCAGGCTTTTCTTCTCAGGTTGCCCTGTCCTGTGCGAGGAACGATGCTGCTTCCTCTGCCTCTCCACGTGAGCAGCCGACCACTGGGATATGGCCCTGCGCTAGACTTTGTAAAAGGAAAAAAAAATGCAATCCTTGCATTTTTTGTCTTTTCATCATGATTTCAAAAGAAACAGCAAGTCTGTCTCAGTTTCTGACGAGGAGTGAAGGTGTTAGGAGTGGCTGGAGATGTGCGCCTTGCAAACTGAAACACGTCCCAGAGGAATTGTATGTCCCGATCATTTCCGTACTTGCTGGCTCTGGTACATGTCCAAGAGCACCCTAAAAGGCTCCAAGCTCACTAAATCAGCTACAGCAGGCAGCATGCTAAGCAGGACTCCAAACCTCTCTGAGATTCTGGATGCTACTCCTAGAGGAAACCAAATGACTGTTGTTGTCATGCAAAACTTTTTTAGATCCTGTCCCCAGAGCTGTAGCTGGACTCAGTTTCTTTAGTAATACACTAAGCAGAAGATAATCAGAAGCCTTCACAGCTTTTCTCTGGCTTTAGGTATATCAGTTTGGACAACAGTGCCTCACTAGTCTGTTGGCACAACTTGACAGACAGTATCCACAGCAGCCGTTTCTGTGTAGTTATAGTAATTCCTGGGCTGTATTCTGCCCTCAACCTCTCCAGGAATCCCTGGGCTGCTCGTATCTATTTTTAAGACACCGTACTGGCAGCAGGTAAAGGTTATAGAAGGAAAGGCAATACTGCCCATGTTTGCTAGGTCAGTTTCCAGTGTTTTGGTTTTGCCCGGAGGCTGACATTTTGCAGTTAGCGTTTTTCACATTGTGAGCTGGGTTTTTCTCTCTGTCTGTAATATGCAAGCCTGCATTTGAACAGCATCCCTGTGCAGCCACCAGCGGGGATATCTATGCCATAATCTCTTTCCACAACCCCCTTTCCTGTGTCTTGATGCCAGGTGGAAGGGTGGGTGGGTGAGTTTATCACAGCATCCACCACGTCCCCTGTGGCCGTACTACCCACTCCCCAGATGATCCGTGGCATTTGGTGAAAGGTCACTGGCTCCAGTTTCAGCTGGTGCCATCCCTGCAACTAACATTTCAAATCACTTCAAAGAGGTGTCACCTTTAAGGCACAGAGCTACCCCATATGCCAGTGGAAGTGTGAATTGCCCCTGAGAGCTATTGTGCAATCTTTATATTAGAGGACAAATCTCCCACAGATCAGTCAAATTGAGGTATTTATTTTTTTAATATTTCTATGCTGATCCAACCCATCTTGCTGAGCAGCTTATAAAGAATTTTTGAAAGAGACCTGAGAAAGAAATCTGATTTCTTCCCCCTTCCCCCCAAATTGTAATTATTTCTATACCTTAATAATTCAGTTCAATAATTCAGGTTTTTATCATTCAGTAGGATCACATTATTTGTGATCAAATATTCATATCAAATATTTATTTTAAATTTGTGATCAAATATCACACATATTTACCCTGTTTATTATTATAAACATGGTAAAGTGTTCATGATACCCAGTCTTGCACCTATATTCAAGTTCTATTCTTTTATTTCTCTTCTAGATCCACTGTTGGCTGCAATATTTCTGGAAAGCTTGGGTGCGGACTCTGTGACCTTTACATATTAGTATAAGCTAAGTTCTTACTGGAAAAGTGTTATTTGGGCAGCAGCTCAAAACATTGTACTTTATACATACCAAAAACTATCCAGTACCTGTAAAAAGCAGGTAGGGACTTTTCACTTAAAAAAAAAAAAAAAAGAAGTGGCAAATAATGGACTTCTTAGCTCTCAGAACACCCTTTGAACCACTAACTCCAAAATAAACTTTCTGTTAGAAAATGGTCTGAACTTTGTCTTTTTGACCAGTGTAAAAGATCACTTGGAATAAACAGTAAAGAAGATCTGAATGTGATGTTTTGACAAACATTAGAAGCCATAGGCCAACGCCCACCCCATTTCTTATTTGCTAAATTGATTGGATATCCCAACAGTATTCTAGCTGCACAGCAAAGGGATTTTGCTTTAAAAGCATTTTGATACTGGTCAGGCTGACAACTGCCATGATGATGAAATAATATGCAGAATGTAACGGCTGTACTTTAAGCCAGGAGGTCCGTTTGCATATGTAATATGAAACCTCTCCCCTTCTTTTATTAATAGCACTATGTACTAACCCAGAGCTCCCTAAATGTGTTATATTTTGGGTTTGTACGAAGTCTATTGGAAAAAAGAATGTCTCCTAAACTGCCAAAATGTGCTCTGGAATATTTGTCCTGTGATGTGAAAGGTGTCATATGCTTTTAACTAGATCGCAGCGGTAGAAAAGAGAAAAAGAAATCTTCACAGCCATGTTCTTCCCCCACTGTTGCCTTAGAGGATGTGGTGCAAAAATCTGCCTGTTGCTCCACTCGAGGAGCTCTGCTCCCCAGTCCTTCCTCCTCCTTAGGATGAGACTTGAAACACAAAGGAGAGCACATGGGATGCAAGCAGCACTGAACTGTCTGCTTGTTGCTAGCATTCAGCACTGCCAGTGTCCGAGACCTTTGCTTGAGGCTGATATCAAAGTAGAAAACCTTAGCACTCACATCCCTTTACAACCCTCCAAGTAATGTGTTGTTCAGAGGTAAAGAAACAGGTTTAGGAAAATGCTAAAGATTAAAAAAGGGATGCAAAGGGAAATAAAAACTCTTTGCCTACAGCTGCAGTTCCTGTTAACAAAAATAAAGCTAGATATATGTCCTGTTACTGAATTTTTAACTTTTTTTCTGTCTTCCTGGCATTATTTTAGGGCAGTAATTTGTGTTAAATCTATGGTAACAATGAAACTCAACAAAACTTTTCTTCTTTAACTCCAAATGTTCTTGTTTTCTTGTGGCCTTTCCAGATCTTCTGCTTAAAAATAAGAGTGCTGATAATATCTAAAATGAAGGCTACAACGTGTAATTGTTCTTACTGCCTTATCTGAGTGGGGAGATAATACTGTGATTAAAATCTGTAGTTTCAGTGTTTCAGGTAGCATGTACCTAAGCCCCTGAGATTTCGGTCTACGTTCACATCATGTCATCCAAACATATCGCTTTTTAAGCAGTTACTGGGACGATAAAATTGCAAACTTGGACATATCTATATTTACACGGTCCACTACAATAATAAAGCTGAAGTAAACTTTTGTTATGACACAGACATGCTTAAATCAGATAAACTTCATTTGTAAATTAATGAGGAGATAATTCCTTTGGAAGCAAACAAGCCACAGCTCACCAGTACCTGTCATTCATGCAAGCCCTGTAATATTACAAGTAGCCCAGACTGGGAACTAAGTCATTAAAATGGGATTGCAGCAGACCAACTAGCAACATAAAACATCTTTATTAAGTGCATGTCTAGATGCACCCTGCACCTCCTGTTGACTCCTCTGGGATGGGCCATACACATTCAAAACCCTCCTCTATGGAGGAGGCCAGAAGGGGGTAAGAAAGCAGGGATTAAGGCAATACGGGAAGGAAACTTCACCATCCAGAGTCACAGCATGCGGGCACTCTGCCACGAAGGCACGCCTGGTTACTGACGCCCTGTGCCTTCCTTTCTGGTACCTTGCGAACTACGCGCTTTGCCCGGGCTACGCTGAGCTTGTTGCTGAGCAGTCGCTACAGGAAGGGAGTTCCCAGCTAAGCGCCCCGTGAGAGTTTTGCGTTATAAGCAGTCTAACGCACCAGATCTACCCATCACCAATGTCAGCGTTGTGGGGAGGGCAGCCAAGAGGTGGCTGCTCAGCTGCAGTCCCGTCTCAGGCTCCTTTCCTGCATCCAGAGGAGCCGTGGAGCCAACCTTGGGTGTAGTTATTCTGGGCACTCAATCACATGGTCTCCAAAACATCTTAATAAACTCTGACCCGCAACGCAGCCAACAGCTTCGCCTCAGAACAAAACAGCTACCCAGGGTATCGACACGGCACGAAAAGTGTCTCATCCAGCTGAGAAGGTAGCAACTCCGGTATCCAGCAAAAATGTCCGACAAAACCCCCTTTGAAACGGATATGCTGACGCTCACGCGATTCGTTATGGAGAAGGGGCGACGCGTTAAAGGAGCGACGGGGGAGCTGACACAGCTGCTCAACTCCATGCTGACTGCCATAAAGGCCATTTCCTCGGCAGTCAGAAAGGCAGGCCTTGCCCACATGTGAGTCCTACCTAGCGATGCGGGGAGGAGGAGGAGGTGGAGAGGCAGCTGCTTGCATAGCAAGGCTGGGGAGAGGGCAGGGATTCGTAAATACATTGGAAGTGTCTTTTTTTTAAGCCAAATTACTTCAGGTATGAGGTCAGAACATAGATTATCAAGAGTGGGAAGCGGGAGATGTCTCTGAAGCGTTTTAAAATTGGGTGCATGATAGACATTTAGAGTAACTGCTGTTCCGTAGTATTTTACTCTAAAAATGTAAGTCAGAACTTCATCTCTTTACCCCTTGTAAATGTTGATATCAACCTATTTTTAAATCCACTGTGAATTTGCAGCAGAATATCATACGATGATATTTTTAATGCAGAATATCACACTGTGGTATTTTCTGCTAACATCCGAGCCTGGTGCTGAGCTGTGCATATCGGGGCTTGGCTTATCTTGGGAATCAGATGTTCTGCCTGACTACAGTATAAGTAATGGTCTGAAGCAATAGCCCTGCGAGAAATGCCATATGCTGCCAAGCATGAGTGCGTTTCCCCTTCCTTCCCCAAGCAGTATCAGGGTTACAGATGGGGAGTCTTAAAAGGCCCTGTATGAAAAACAAACAACAATTTGGCATCTAGTGGTTTAGTGAATGAAATGAAGGATTGCCTTAGCAAAGCCTGGAATGAGCCATTCCTCATACAGCTAGGTGAAATAGACATCAGTGTCATTCTTTTCATGATCATCTGTCTGAAGCAGTTCAGAGAGCTGGAATGTCCAAATAAAAGTATGCATTTAAAATATGCAGATTTTGTTATGTATTGAAATATCTGTTTCTGTACATGCCTGTGTACGTACATGTGCATGCATGTATAAAAAGACAAGGAATATATTTGTGTAAGAAAAACAACATTCATAGTCTGTGGAGGGCTTTTTTGATTTCTTTCAGTTTGTTTTTTTCTTGCGGAAACACCAAAATGCCTGACACTGGGATTTTTTTGGTGCTTCTGTTGATTATTTGGTCAAAGTCCTTAATGAACTTTGCAAATTACAAATTCAGTGTGTCGGCTCTTATCACCCTCACTGTAGAGGCATGGACCATAGTATGTAGAGAGAACGTGAGGCATAGTCAAAGTTAACAGCAGCCTCAGACTCCGATGTCCTAACTCTTAAACTGTACTACATTGTCTGTGTACTTCCTAGGTGAAACTGAGCTGCTTCACCTCCCTGACTTAGGGAGAATAGTTGCTTTAACCTCATTTGAATCTTTCAATATGCAACCTCTGAAGTATTTAATAAGTAGGGAGACCCCCTGTTTGGTAGGCTAGAGGTGGAACAGACACCTAGCCTACAGGACACATGGCTGCTCTGCCAGATGAATCTTCCCTTAAGACAGAAAACATCCATCATGTTAAGGAGCCAATATCTCTTTCTATAAAAAAAAGTTTCAGGCAATGGATTAAAAATATCTAAGATATCCAAACACATAAATGAGTAACTTGCCCCATGCAAAATACTGCAACTAACCATGACATTTCAGAAATCCCTGTGGCAAAATTTCCACCACAGTGACTGCCTTGCATCCATCTGCATTTGTGAAATTAGAGAGCTCTGATTTTTGGACCCCCTCCAAATAGGAGACCGCAAAGTGACCTCTTAAATTTTAAAGACCTCAGCATGATCTTTTAACAAATTTGCAAATTGAAAGTAAAGGAGGATTTTTTCCAAGCCATAGACCTGAGCTGGGAATGCGCTTGGAAACACACTTAATGGAGAATGGGTGCTTAGTGGTCCCTGAGAATCACTGTTCCTTTCTAGTACCTCCAACTTGGCACCCCAAAATGCTTTGTGGGGCTCCTAGGGAAGCCTGGCACCCACTGGCAGGGCTGTGGGCTCTGCTCCTGGCCTGGACAACATCCGCAGGAACAAAAACGGTACAGGTAAATCCCCAAAAGGATGCCATTGACCTTTCTTGTGCACATTTTTATTTGCTAGAGGCAGCAGGCATTGCCTATTGCGCCTTAGCAGTTTAATCCAAAGGTGAGAGGTGTGGAAAGATGAGAGGAAGGAGCCACCCTGACTTGATTTTTCCCTAAACCCCTGTAATGTTGGGTTTCCTGCTATTTTACTTCCCTGTAGGTTTGGTATAGCCGGCACCGTGAACGTGACTGGTGACGAAGTGAAGAAGCTGGATGTATTATCCAACGCCCTGGTGATTAACATGCTCCAGTCCTCCTACAGCACCTGCGTTCTGGTCACGGAAGAGGACAAGGAGGCCATCATCACCCCGAAGGAGAAGCGGGTCCGTGAAACTCCTGCCTTCCCGGGGTTATCGGCTCAGGCAGCGGCAGGTGGCACCCTCGTTTCACGAATGAAACCTCCGCCTGGCCCCAAAACCACCCCTTCCCGGGGGAACCCAGAATATTTGCACCATTACTGAATTGTTTTGATTAGTAACTGTGGTGGATGTCGTGGTTTCAACAGCTAAAGGAGCTGTGGAGGGTAAAATTATTATTAAAGTTTTTGCGAAGGGGGAGAATAATTATTTTGGAGCTTGTTAACACACCCCAGATCCCAGGTGTAAGCACACTATTACCTTCCCCAACCACCGGTGTAACAGTTCTGGATTACATCAATATTTAGGCAAGATAAATGAGATGAGAGGCTGGCAGAATTGGGTTTTGTGTTCCGTGTCCAGACGAAACACAACTGCTTCATCAGGCTTCCCCCAGGAGGGGATCCTGTTGCAGCGAGATAACTTCTCGCGCTGATCTAACCTACCCTTTCCCCTAGATGTTTTCTTTCTGCCTTCCTACCCTCAAACCTCACATCACAGGCAAATCCAAAGTCTGGAACAAAATGTAGCAAAACAAAACGTATTTACTCGAGGAAGATGCTTGCTTCCAGAATGAGTCACTCCCTTTGCTTTCAAGCCATTTGTTGCACTGCTTGGCAGTAGAGGACTGCTGCTTTCTACCATTAGATTTTGTGTTGTCTGAGCAGAAGCATGCCCTCTCCTCTTTTTCTGGCAGGCCCTGCAGGGAGTGGGCATTGTGCAGGGCCTGCTGGGACAACAGGGCAGCCTTCCCTGGCAAGCTGTCAGGCATGCTTGGAGGCTAAGTACAGTCATAAAAGCATGGGTTTTGTCAAGTAAAAGGAAATAACAGTACAAAGCTATGTATTTTTTAATGTTTCCCTTGCCACTTCTGTTTTAGGGTAAATATGTGGTGTGCTTTGACCCCCTTGACGGCTCATCCAATATAGACTGCTTGGCACCGATAGGAACGATATTTGCTATCTACAAAAAGGTAAGACGATGAATGAAACACACATGGCACAATTCACTTGGTCAGAGTAAAATGTCTTGAGTATATCAGCTTGCTTAGTTTTTTTCCTAGCTTAGTTTCTTTCCTAGGTTGTTTAAGTGTCTTTGGGACCAACAGAGCCTTATAAAGAGTAGGAGAGGTAACACCTGAGATTCACATGTGCTAAAATGCTGCCTGAATTCCCCAGGAAGGGGACACTCAGTCCGGTGAAATTGTTAGGTGGCAGCACTTTCCTCCTCCACACACACAGGTGCTTAAATAAGACCCTCTCACCATCAGACAGCTGCTTAGATCCTTCGGTGATGTGCTACTTGTGCAGGAGAGCTGCGGTGCCTGCAAATCACAGAACTTGTCTTCCTGGATAGTGACTGGGGAGGGCTGATTGTCACTGCCTGGGCCGTATAGCGATTGGCAGTGTGGTGGTCTCCTGGTGTAAGTTGCTCTGCCCGTTCCTGATGGGAATTATAACCCTGCTAACGATGGAAGTCACCTGAGACTGCAGGAAGCCGTCACCTACAGCCACCAGGTGCTGCCAGTGCCTCTGATCCTATGAGGCTGCACACACCAGCAACTGCGCAGCCAATTAACATACGCTAATAGTTAGAGTCATGCCAAGTCTTGTGATTTGATTGCTGATCTCCCTGCAGTTGGTGTTTTTCCTAGAGCCTGAGCTCACAGTCATATGACTATGGGAGACCCTCAGCCATTACTATTGTGAAGTCATGTTTACAGTCCTCGTGACTGCAATGAAGTCTTTGCAGACTCAGACGCTACACTTCAAACATATGAAGTTGCGTTTTTAAAGCCTATTCTCATATTTTAACTCATCATTTTCACCTGGCTAGTCCTTGCTGTTCACATTTCTGGTAGATGATACACTAACTGTCACCGTTCAGAATGTGTATGCTAGTAAACCAGACAGTTATGGCACAGTCTCAACAGGGTCATGGCACAAGCCAAGTGCTGGCCTGTGGGTGTCCACCCTGAAAATGGCCAGTGCAAACCCGCCCCAACACATGATGCAGCCTTGGCCAGACAAGACTGGGATGATGCCTGGATGATGGAAAGCACAGTTCAGGTGGTACTTGCTTACCAGGTGGTAAGCCAAGGGGCCCCCAACCTTTTAGTTTATCTCTCTGAAGAAAGCCTACAGCAGCTCCTGACACAGTAAGCAATAGCTTCATTGTCCACTATTCTTAAAGGTGGTTAGCACTGTCTTACAAATACTACACATCAGTATTCTATTTAGAAGTGTTGGGTAAGGCTGCACTGTGTAACCAGAAATACAAGTGCTCAGAGTGATTAATATAGCTTAGCAGGTTGAAATACAGATTAGATTTCTCTACCATCTTTAAGTCACTTGTTAATGTGTGTGAGGACTAGGGACTACCCAGTCTTCCCCTAGGATTCTGTTTCAGAAGAGAAGCATTTCCCAAAGAACTCATGTTGTTCCCAAATGCTCAACTTCTCAGTTCATTTTCTGACTCTTCCATAGTTGTTGTTCTAATATATATTAACATATTTGTTGTAAATACTGTTTCTAAGTTACTGGGCTTCATGTGGGTGGATACCCTTCAGTGCTTCATGGCAAGAAAATTACACTGCTTTGTACGAATGTTCTGTATCCAAATGAAAACCCTGTTGCTAGCATGAAGCACAGTTTGTCAATTACAAGAACAACTTACCAATTTTCCCTGGGAAGCTAGAAACAATGTTGGAGTTAGAGACTTTCACTTGCAAAATTTTTTCCATTAAAATGTTAATTCCAAAGTACACGTTAATTAATGCACCTTCCTCTCAGACAAGACAATTTCACAGCAACACTATTAAATTCAAACACTATTAACTTCAAACCCTTCGAAATCATGAAATAATAATAAGTGCTTTATTGATTGTTACTGAATGGTGCTGTAAAAGGAATAAAAGTGAGATGTTTATGACAATGTATAAGAATCACTTAAGGAAGAAAATATAATTTCATGCCATTTAGAGCTCATGAACATAATTTTGGAAAAACTAGAACAATTAAAATTACAAAGGATGATCCTTAGTACCTGTCTGGTATTTGGTACCTTCCAATTCTCAGATAATTACATGACCGATTTTCTCACCATGTCAACACCTTAACTTAATTGCCTAAGGCACAACATCCACAACTCAGTTTAGGGGGAAAAAAAAATATATATATGATCAGCACTTTTCTACAAACGCCAGACTTGGCCAATGCATTTCAAACCTGAAAATGTTTCTCTGGCTGCTCACAATCCAGAGCCACCACCGTGGCAGCAGCTACCATTGCCTCCTGCCAGAAAATCACTGCACCAGTTTCTGAGCAAAACCCACCGGGGAATAAATGCCGTCCTAGGTCTATTTCATTTGTTACCTGGCTTTTCTTTCTGAAGCATGGGTGGTATTGGCATTTATACCAATATTTTTATACTGGTATAAAAAGACCAGAAATGTCAGAAAAGAGGGGCTGAGGGAGGAGCTTGCTGAATCAGCAGAAGCCAGAGCAAGGGATGGGATTTTGACAGGCACTGACACTGAGGGATCTCAGCTGCTGGACTGTCAGCATGTAGTGGCAGTTAAGTATTTTTTGCCTGGATTCTTTGCAAATTTTCATGCCACTGGGCTGAATCTACAACTTTCAGTTCATACTCCACATATATGCTATGAAACGCTGATGCTTTGTTTCATTTTGGTTTTAATTTGTAACATCGTCCAGTACCTCAGATGTATTTTGTTCCCCTCCTCCTGCCTCATTGTCATGAGTACAATGAAGGTCTCCATGTGGTCCCTCAAGGCAATGCAGGGAAAACGACAAGGATACTCATGAAACACGTGGTACGAATGGAGACCTGGAAACCAAGTCCTTCCAGAACTGCTCCCAGTGATGATGAGAACTCCCTCATGTGACTGAGCAAATCATACATGCAAAAAACTTCAAACTCAGATATCACCTGAGGGTAACCCTATAGCCAGACGCTGTGGGCCTTGTTTCATCTCCTTCACACCAACAATGACCAAAGTGACGGTGTCAGCTCCTGTGAGAGCTTCTCTGCAGTTCCTCTGCCTATTTCAGTGTTTTGCATAAAGACTTCTAAAGAGATTTCACTACTGCCGTCTCATAGTCCAAATATAATAGAAAGGAAATCCATCTGTGCACCAGTAAAAAGTAAAAACGTTCAGCAGCTATCGGGGCCTACTGGACAGCTGGATTCCCTGGTTTGTTTCACAGTACTTGGTACTTGGTAGCACAAAAATCTTGAAGTCGTAACAATGAAATATCAGCTGATGTCCTCCCCCTTTTTTTTTTTTACTTTCTGACAAGCTCTGCAAAATGTCTGTTTTGAAATTTTGCTTTTTTCCTTCCTCTTGGAAACAGAGTAGTGAATAAGGATGCAAAAAGAAGTGAATTCTGCTCAACTGTCCATCTCCTGAGGGAGGAGTTCCTTGTTTTTACAGAATAGTCAACAAATATCTGGTTTCTCAGCCATATAAACATAGAAAATACATTTAAGAGGTAGGAATAAAAAGCTCATCTCAGAAAAATATATTGTTCAGCAAAGGATTAGCTAGGGTAGCAAGACTGCAGAGGGATCTGGACAGGCTGGATCGATGGGCCAAGGTCAGCTGTGTGAAGTTCAACAGGCCAAGCACCGGGTCCTGCACTTGGGTCACAACAACTCCCTGCAACGCTACAGGCTTGGGGACGAGTGGCTGGAAAGCTGCCCGGCAGAAAAGGCCTGGAGGGTGTTGGTTGACAGCTGGGTGAACATGAGCCAGCAGTGTGCCCATGTGGCCAAGAAGGCCAATGGCATCCTGGCCTGCATCAGGAACAGTGTGGCCACAGGAGCAGGGCAGTGATTATGCCCCTGTACTGGGCACCGGTGAGGCCACACCTCAAATCAGTTTGGGCCCCTCACTGCAAGGAAGACATTGAGGTGCTGGAACGTGTCCAGAGAAGGGCAACGGGGCTACTGGATGGTCTGGAGCACAAGTCCTGTGAGATGCAGCTGAGGGAACTGGGATTGTTTAGCTTGGAGAAGAGGAGGCTTAGGGGAAGCCTTATCGCTCTCTACAGCTGCCTGAAAGGAGGTTGCACAGAGGTGGGGTTGGTCTCTTCTCCCAAGTAGCAAGCGGTAGGACAAGATGAAACAACCCCAGGTTGTGCCATAGGAGGTTTAGGTTGGATATTAGGAAAAATTTCTTCACTGAAAGGGTCATCAGGCACTGGAATGGGCTGCCCAGAGAGGTGGTTGAGTCACCATCCCTGGAGGTATTTAAAAGACGTGTAGAAGTGGTGTTCAGGGACATGGTTTAGTGATGGACTTTGCAGTTGTTCAGTTAATGGTTGGACTTGATGATCTTAAAAGTCTTTTTCAACCTAAATGATCCAATGATTCTTTAGTGAGAAAATATGGACCACTCAGATAAAAACTCACCCTAATCTGCAGTTACCATTTAACTTTGTTACTGTCCAGTTTGGTATCCAGGTGCAGTACCTGGGAAACCTACCATCCCTGATCCTTGATCACACCTGACATGATGTTGGGGACCAAGTGGTCCTCTGCTCCAGCTCTCTTCCTGGGAATGCCAACCCTGGAGCGTGGCCCCTGCAGATAACCAGAGCCATGTGTGAGTCACAGCGTGGCAACCCCTGCTGCTTTGAGGGTGAAGAATAAACAGATTAAATGAACACCTTTCTTCAGAAGCAGGATCACAGAGCTTTTAAATCCTTTAAATTTAAATCTGAGTCCAAATCCTTTTGATTTAAATCCTTTAAATTCATCAGGGTTTGTTAAAATACTAGGGAAAATGCTTTCTGATTCACTTACAGAATCGGCCACCATCCCTGGAGGTATTTAAAAGGTATGTAGATCTGGTGTTTAAGGACATGCTTTAGAGTTGGACCTGGCAGTACCAGGTTAACAGTTGGACTCAGTGATCTTAAAGGTCATTTCCAACCTAAACGATTCTGTGATTCTATTAAAAGCTTTCAAAACTGTAGAATTCAAAGCTGTGGAATATGCAAAAAGGGGTTTTACCTGATCTTCATTATGCACGTTATAACCAGCCTGACATAGAGAAATTCCAAGGACTGTGTACCAGGTGTGTTTGTACATGCTGTATTTCAGCTCCCACAAAGAGCTGGTTGGCAATTGGAATTTTTTTCAACAGAAGAACTTGGCAAAATAATAATAACAAAAAGTTTTGAGCAAAATACAGCTAAAAGCTGCAAGTGAAAGTAACTAAAATAACAAAATCTTTCAGCTGAAAATGAAACCATTGTGATGTGGGATTACTGTCTTCATATGCCATGTAGATGTCGTTTTCATATACTATGTAGGTCTCAGTTTTCCTCTAGGTGTTGGCATGTAACGATGAACAAGATCCCCAGGTTACCTTTAGCCTTCCACCTTTCCACGACCCTGAGTGCTCTTTGCCATGGGGCACAGCAGAGATTTCTCTTTTGGAGGAGAGGTGTTTTCCTGTGGAAAATATTTGTGGAAGGCATTCTTGATTTTTTAAAGAATTTACTGAATATTCATCAACTATTCTATTTCCTATATAAAATAGCCTCCACTGTTGTTTTTTGTTTGTTTCTGGGTTTGGTGGTTTTTTTTTTGTTTGTTTGTTTTTGGTTTTGTTTTGTTTTTTTTTTTTTAACTGGACATTTTGGGCTCGACCTACTATTTCTACTTGGCTGCTATTCAATCTAATTATTACCATGCAAGCACTGAGAAATTGTCTGAGTTTAATACAAAAAAATGCTAAAATAGGGCCTGAAGTAAGGATTTGAAGGAGTTCTCATTTTAATTCCTCTTGAAGCACCACCAAAACATCCACAGAAGGCCCACTACAACTGACAAGCTTTCAAAGAAGCATTAATATCAAGCATTCCCTCCCCATTTTGTAGTCCCAGGAGGTGAAGGCTGGAGCCAGCCCTCCCAGGTTCTTTAGGCTATTCTCCTTTCTTACCCCACCAGCCAAACTTTTGTAAGCCATGGCTGAGGTCTGCTTGGTCTGTTGTTGTTCAGTGACAGCCAGCGTGCCAAATCAAAACATGAGTGTCAGAAACTGATAAAAGCCTGAAGTAAAACCCCACATGAATGTTCTATGTAGAGTTACATATGCATAGCTGCACAAACACACATTACATATGCAAATGCATATATTATTTTATGTATTATATGAACATTTATATCACCCCTAGTTACCCGTCTCTTCACCAGCAGAGACCAGCACACGATCTTGGTTCCATTATGTTGCCTCTTGGTTTTATTCTGCTTTACTAGAAGCAATTTGTCTGTAACGTTAATTATTGCATTCACCCCGCAGCTATTTCCTCTGAGGGGTGTCAGTATGATAGTTTATGTTTACATTTACAGAAAATTAGAACCTCTGTTCTGTCTCAGATTTCTGATGATCTTGAATTAATAGACTGGGCTGTAATGCTAAGGTATCAGCTTTGTTGCAGATATCATACAGATTGCATGACGTATAAAATAACAAACTCTCAATGACCTGTCCCAGCGTGCGCATGTACTTGTTCAAAACTTGCCCTGAACTAGCAGGAACAATTTCTATTTTGCTTGTTTTAAAAGGCCTGCATATGTACAAAAAGGAAATCTGCCCCCACATAGGTATCGAAACATTGTTTTTATTGTTTCTTATAAGAATTTAACCTCCAGTCCAACGGTAATTTTTCCTCAGGAAACAGACGAGCAGCCCTCTGAAAAAGATGCTTTGCAGCCTGGACGCAATATTGTTGCAGCAGGCTATGCCTTGTATGGCAGTGCTACGCTGGTCGCCCTCTCCACAGGGCAAGGAGTGGACTGCTTCATGCTCGATCCGGTAAAGTCATGGCGTTAATTACATTGCTACTACCTTTTATTGCTTTCTGTGCTTGGGTTTACTCGTTTTTGTTACTCCTTGTTTCTGTAATCTAGGCAATCTGCATGATTCTTTTTCTCACACGCATTCTGGAGCATCCCACCTCCACCTTACAAGTATTCAATAATATATGAGTATGTTGGTTGCAGTACTTCTATTTGCTTTTTCTATTCAGTGAAAGAGAGTTGAAGTTAAATAGCATTTGAAACCCTGTTCATTCACATCAGACTGCTGGTTTGCACAAACACTTAGGAAAGTTTACAATGAACAGCACCTTTGCCTCCACCTAAAAGGCTCCTGCTTTTTTCTTGTTCTTGCTTTTGCTGTCTGTAGAAGAAGCTCAGCACTAAAGTGATTAGTCTGGGGCAAGTACCATTTGTTGGTAGAGTTCATGCAGGGTGATGTCTGGTTTCCTGAGTGCGTGCTTGGCCCCTGCAGTCACCAGGGCGGTGTGTCAGACACAGCATGGCAAACCCTGCTGCTTTGAGGGTGAAGAATGGACAGATTAAATGAACATCTTTCTTCAGAAGCAGGATGACACAGCATCCTTTAAATTCATTAGGGTTTGTTAAAATACTAGGGAAAGTGCTTATGGCTGAGTCTTCTACGCTGCACACCCAACAATGTGCAAGAGCACAACCAAAGCCATACAACCAGACACATGTGACCCTTCATGTGCCCAGCCCAGGAGTCAGACAACTGCTACTGGAGGAATGCAGGAAGGAGACCACTCATTTGAGAAACCAGCATTAGATATGGTCAATAACATAGGAGTCCTTTTTGATAAAAGGATGCATTATTATCAAAACTCCTTTCAACCTTTATAAATAGGCTCATTCCAAGAGGGAAGAACTGAGAGCTGAAATGCTCTGATTAGAGACAGAGGAAGAGAAGGTGAAAGTTACACTCAAACTGCAGACAGCAATACCTGGGGTTTGCTGACCACATTCACTATATTTGGACAAGACAGGCAAGAAGAATGTTAAAATCAGAAGGGAGGGTAGTTTCTTAATTTGTAACCTTATGACTTGAGGACAGAGTTTCATGATCCATCTGCTTTCAGAGCTGACTGGTGTTCATTTCACATGCTTACTATTATAGTCTAATTGCTTTTTGTTTGCACTACCAATGTGACACATTTTCATGAACTTAAATCAGGTTATGTGCTTTCTGCTCTGTTTGAAATACTGTGAAGTTATACACAACACTGGTGCTGAAAGGACCAAGCTGTGTGAGTGTTTCTGCCATCTCTAATGTGACAACTGCTACAGAAAGTCAACAAAATATTCTGCTGCTTATTAATAGCTGGTCTATCTTGTTCTGTAGGGTCTCGGTGAATTTATTTTGGTGGACAGAGATGTTAAAATCAAGAAGAAAGGGAAGATATACAGTCTCAATGAAGGTTATGCAAAGTATTTTGATCCTGCAATGACAGAATATTTACAGAAGAAGAAATTCCCTGAGGTAAGAAAATATTAGCACTGTACCCAATGTACTGTGCACTGGCAAACACTGACTTCCATGCAGTCCTGGCCATTGGGAAAGGAGTTGAAGGCCTTGCTGAGTTCAGCCCCATGTAACCCTTTCATGCCACCAGGTGCATTTCAGGTAAGTATCTGTTGTGTTAGTTTCTGGTGCCCTGACATCTTTAATAACTTAGACCTAGGTAAGTAAATTCGTAACTTCTTCGTCACTGTGTGGAGGAAAATGTGCTGCACATGAGAACCAGCTTTTTTGACAAAGCTCTGAAACTGTGCCAGCAAAATGTGTGGGTGCCCTTGTTTTCCAGCTTATCCGAGTGTGCAGCTCAGTCATATGTGCAGCAGGGCATCTGGGGCTAGATTCCATGTACTGCCCGTACTGGTGGCAACACCTCCTCCTTCGTGTAGATGCTTGCATCTGAGAAATGCAGTACCGCTCTTGCACTGTCTACTTGCATCATAAGGAGCACAAACCAATGCACAGTTTGAAAAAATAAAAGGGTTTGAAGCACAGTTTCACTGTATTTTGTTGTTAAGAGGATTATAATGTATCCCTCAGAGAGATAAAGCTGAGAACATCCCATGTCTGATGAAGTTCCTCGTGAGGACATAGAGGTCTGTATGGCCTCCAGGCAACGCCAGGAGAACACAACACAAGCTGTTAATGTGGAAAGTTGGAAGCTCTCTGGAAAGTGTAACAATGTGACCAGTAAATCATAATGACATACGTTGGCATGTAACAGCTCAGGACTGAGTTTGGTCAGGAAACTGGTTTTAATGTTCTTCTAAAGCCATAGGATTATTTTTAAGCTATTAGTTGTCAAGGATACTTGCACAGGGCTCATGTAAAAATCAATGTATCCAGTAGAAAATGTCAGGGTGCTGTACAAGGCAAAAGTCACATGTAAGAGTTTAAACCATAGTTCTGTCAGAAGCTCCTTCTGAGCTGAAAATCTGAATTTACTGGATTGTTTAGAGCTGCAATGCTGACCTGTTATCAGAACCTCTGTCCATATTACCCAGATTGTCACTACAGAAGGTGTCACATAGCATTTAAAATATATTCATTTTGAATATCTGAGGTTATTTTTAAACTTCAAAGCTTCCAGCCCAGCTGTGAGACAAGCAGACGACCACAACACAGCTTTTATACTTCCTGAAAACTGATCCAGCTGAGAAAGAGACGATCTGTGCTTCTCATTCTGATCATGTTATGCTGAGCTATGTAGTCAGTATAGCGCACTAGCACTGGACTTTTTAGTGTGTGTTTTTGCAAATGACCCAAGTGTTGCTTAAAGTAAAACTCGTAAACAAATAATCAACCCTGGGCAGCTGTACAAAGACTGAAGAAATTTCAGACTCAATGGAAAGACCAGAGATATTTCACCACAGGCTCAGTGAGGGCAGCTCTCTCATGTGATTCGCTAAATCCTTAGGTTAGGACACACAGGAAAAACCTCATTTGTAAACACTGTTTTATCTCACATCTGTGCTTCATTTGAGGAAAGCCTGTTGAAAGTGTTGTTGCACTAATGCAACACAAGTTGGCAGAAAGTGTTTTTGTCACTTTAAAGCAAGCAGCACGGCAGCGTATGGGTTATTTGGGGCAGGGGAAGCCTCCTCAAGGGTGCTGAGCAAGCACATCGCACTGCTGCTCTCAGATGTCGGGCTGTCAGTGTGAGAAGGGGCAAGGGACCAATGTTATGGCCACAAAGCACAAGGAAGTGCCCTGCCCATCTGAAAGCTTGTTAGGAACCTGAGTTTTGGAAACAGCATAACTCAGTTCCTTGATGTGAAAAGGACATTATATTGGCATTGTGGGAAGACAAGAGAGGAAAGGTCTTGCCGATTTTCCATTGCATGAAACCTGTTTCTTGGAATCACCTGGAAGCCTGACCAGCTACAGCTACCTTGGTGGTGCTCCTAGCTTCCTTGTAGTGCCTAGATGGATCACTGCACAGCTTTGGTCTGTGTCTTCTCAGCATGCAGAAGTGCAGTAGCGGGTATCTGCTGGATAACTCCTGCCTGTGGCTTGGAGAACTGATGTGTGGACATGGGGGACCCCTGCTTACCCAAGTGGATCACTTTAACCCTATAACCTTCTGGCCAGTAGAAGCCAAGACACTAGACACCAGTTTCACCTATTTGTCACTTTCTTGACCCCTTTTTTCTTTGATCTTACCTCTATTTCCTCCTTCCTGTGGTTCTTAGTCAACATGCTGTTCAGATGACTCTCTAACATTGCTACAGAAAATTAAGTTAGAAATAAAGCAGGCAAAGTAGGATGTTGTCCCTAAATTGGCCCATCTTCTGTATCACTTGGCAACCAAACATTAAAAAAATCAACCGTTTATGTGGAGAGGAGAGATTTTTCCTTTCCTGTCTACCAGCAGCGTCCTAGGTCAGACAGTTGGGGCTGCAAATCTGTGCCAACCCTCCAAGTTTCTTGTGGACCACAATTCACCTATGGCACAATTCTGAATTAAAATCCCTGAAAAAGTTCTGCAGATCAGCTGCAAACCTCCTACCATCATCAAGTAGATCTTGATGGAAAACATTTATCTAGATGCATCTCTTCTGGAACAACATTCCAGAGTAATATTTTGTTAAGCATCACAAAATCTCCTCCTGCTTAACCAGCTTGAGAAGTAAGCTTCTATTTGCAAGGCTCTTTTTATGCAACACATTTACAGCAGTCTGCACTCTATAATGGGTACTACTGGGCTCGGAACTGTTTCTGCACAGATTTCACTTCAATTCCTTCCCAAGTGGGTTATTCCTTCAATAATGCTTACAAGGCCCTAGCCTCTATCTCGCACCAGTTCGCTGTTGGTAGAACTCAGAAACATGCTGTGGGCACGATCATACTTTGCTATTCCACCCATTTTTGTCTTCACTTCCTATGACCACAAGAGAAGTTGAGTCTTATTCATAGCTTGTTGATTGAGAGCCATGCAACTGAGTACCCCTAGTTAAGGATTTGTCTTAGCAATTCCATCAAAAACTTATTATCAACAGCACATTTCGGCATGAAGCATTCTTCTGCCAGCCAACCCAGCTGTGCCTGAGTGACATAAAAACGCTAATAAAAACACTGTGCTTTTGTCACAATAACTTTGTGTGGAGGGCAGGATGCAGGGCATTGCTGCTGTAATCTATAGAAAATACTTCTTTCCCTTCACTGTCCTAGTCATCATAGTTATGCAAGAAAAACATGGTCTTGTTCTGTTGTGGAGGAACACAGCTGTCAGAAATCAGTAGAACAAAGAAGTGAGAAAGTGACTTCCATCACAATGAGTAGAAAAAAAATCACAGGACCTATCTGTTATGAGCCAATTTTTGTTCCTCTGAGTTCAGCAAAGAAAAGCAGCAGAAAGGGTGAAACTAAGAGCAATCAAAAGTTTACCCATATGCCATGCATGCTGACCAAGGGGAATCAAGGTTCTCCAACTCTTTCATTAGCATCATCTGAATGGTGTGAAATGCTCGCTGGGCAAACACACAGCTTAGCATTACTCGGAACTTGGGATGAATTTCCCTAGCATTCATGGTCTGCTCTTTTGTCTGAGAAGAAAGGCTGGGCAATAAGCCAACACGCATGCAACACCTTCTCATCTGTAAGGGAAATGTGTGGGTGACCAAACTAGAGAAACAAGAAGTAACATTTCTAGTAACTAAAAGGACTATTTATTTCTCCCATACAGGTAGCTGGATGCTAAGGGAAGTGAAAATTTTATTTCAGTCTGTGGCTCAAGTGATAGCCATACCAGAAGAGAGGCATTTCGTTCTGTATTTTTTGCAGCACAGTCTCAGCAGTGTGTTTCTAGCAGGTGAATTTCTGCCAGGGTAAGAAGCAATAGAAATTGTAGGTAGCATCTCATCAGCTTCACATAACACCGCCCATGTACAAATAAATTGTGTAAAAGACCTGCATGTGAATAGGAAAACCAGCACATCTCAAATGCCTCTGATGATTTGTACACAGGCAGCTCAGAGGTGCAGGTCATGGTCAGTAAATTTTATACACATGGGTTGCAGACTCCTTATTTGATAATGTCATAGAAACAGTCCTTACCAGTCCATTTCAGGGTGTATGCATGACTGATATGCTATAACTTTTCTTAAAGTTTAACAAACCTTTCTCAAGAGTTCATCGCTTTCTGAAACCATAAAAGAGACCTCTTCCTTTGATTGTATTTTTATAGGTAATTAGATTGTAATCATACATTTCCCTGAAAATACTCTTCTTTAACTCCAAACTTGCCTTTGTCTCTCTTTTTAACAGCTTTTAAGATGTTTTTTTCCTGACCTCAGATTTTTACAGTTGCAAAGTGTCCTGGTTTTGGCTGGGATAAAGTTACTTTTCTTCCTAGTAGCTGGTATAGTGCTGTGTTTTGGATTTAACATGAGAATAATGTTGATAACACACTACTGTTTTAGTTAATGCTAAGCAATGTTCACTCTAAGTCAAGGAATTTCAACTTCTCATACTGCCCTACCAGCAAGACAGCTGGGGGAACACAAGAGGCTGGGAGAAAGCATAACCAGGAGAGCTAACCCAAACTGGCCAAAGGGATATTCCATACCACACGATGCCATGGTCAGATATACAAACTAGGCGGAAAGCTGGCTGGGGGCTGCCGCTTGGAAGCTGGCTGGTCATCAGTAAGTGGATGGTGAGCAATTGCATCGTGCCTCACTTGTTTTGTATTATTATTGTTATTATTATTTATCCCTTTCTTTTATGTCATATTGAACTGTCTTTATCTCAAACGAAAAATTCTGATTCTTTTTTTCCTGATTCTCTCCCTTATCCCACTGTGGTGGTGGGGAGTGAGAGACCGGCACTATGGTGTTTAGCTGCCTGCCGGGTTAAACCCCAAAACAAAGCCACAAGTGCAAACAGCTGTGAGAGAAAGAAGGTGTTTGAAATCTAAATATGTAATTATTTGAGGATAAGCTGTGAAAAATAAAGAAATACTTAAAAGTATTATCCATTTATTCCTGGAAGTAGTAGGGCCAGTTTTAAACAAAACAAAATATAAAAGCTCCAGGCTGTGTCTTATCCATCATGTCTTTCACACTTTGTATTGTTTTCCTCTGTATTTTCAATAGTTCTCCTGTAAATGTGTACAGGGAGAAAGAATCATGGAAAACAGCACAAATACAGTTGAATAAGGGTTATTACCTAGGCTGGAACAGTTCTGCGTTCCAAGTTTACTACCAGATGTATCAAATATCCAAGTCTTCCATTTAGTGGCTTAGAACTCAACTTCCTTATATTGAGTTGCATTATACTGTGCAATTTAGTGAGAACCTCTTCCCATTTTAAAAGGGAGTAAATATCAAAACTTCACAGTTGCACAGAAAAGTTTGAAAAAGTGATTTCAAAATAGAATAATGTTTTTCTCTATCTGTGTTTTTTCCTCCCACTTTTGGATTTTTTTTTTTTCCTCACAGCTAACCTCATGATTTTGCTTGGAAGGGTGACTAACTTGTGATGTCTGTAGGTCTGGGTGCTGGCATTGCTGAATAAGTTGTCTGTGTATTTATCTGGATCTAGTACCAGCACAAGGCAAGCTTTGCAGAAAGCACTAGGGTCTTTTACCAAACAATTGATCCAGACAAAAAACATGCAGAGGTCTTTTCAAACTTTTAGCGTTGTAATGCACAAATATATATGTGCATTAAATGTGCGTGAAGTCTCAGTCTCTAGTAATTTTCTGGGGAGGCAAAAATTCATTCTCTGTTTCATTGAAGAGAGAGTGAGAGATATCAAAAGACCAACAAACTTTTGTATTGTGTATCTTCCCTTCATCAAAGTATGGTGATATGTTGCTTTTCTCAGGTGGAGCTTATCTGGTCTATATAACTTCTATTTGTGCAAGACACATTGCTGCTTGTCTTGATGTTTCCTACCTTATGATTTATATGACCAGCCAACCTGAGACTGATAAAATTCCTGGACTCATATGGACATCTCCTTCAACAACATTGATTTCTAAGCTGAGAGCAAGGAAAACTACATTCAGGAATAAATTTCTATCTCCCAAACGAAGCTTCAGAATGAGTGCATCACCAATTCCATAACTTGACAAACAACCTAGAATGAAAAAGCTGAGTCCTCTAGGAACCATCTGGATGTGTAGTGAAAAGTGACACCTCTTCCCGTGCCTTGGCTTAGGAACCAGTGAAGGATCAGCAGTCAAATGGGTACCTTGTCTGAGAATGTGAAGAGGTTTTCACTCACTATTTGCAGCCCTTGCTTTTTCAACGGTTGGGGGTTGATACCAAAGTGTGCACTCAAATTACAGGCACCCTGGTTTCCATACTGTGATTACACCTCTTTAAAGTGACTATTTTAGAACCCCATGGATGATCACTGTGTCTTACAAAAGTCTAAGCTTCAGGTTGGTTTCGGCATTTGCAGTGTGCATGAACAACCATTGATTTAAGCAGCTTTGATTCCTGTTTTATAGCAAAACATTTTGTCATGCTACTAGATGTCTATCCTGGCAGATATAATGCTTTATGTTTTTCAGGATGGCAGTTCCCCATATGGTGCCAGGTACGTGGGCTCCATGGTAGCTGATGTTCACCGTACATTAATGTACGGTGGGATCTTCATGTATCCTGCTAATCAGAAGAGTCCTAAAGGAAAGGTAAATCTTTTAACTTACTCTCTGGTCAACTTAGTCAACCTAATAACTCTGGTTTTCCTGGAGATGTAAAGGAATAGTTTAGGTATATAAAGAGGTAATAATTTTCCATCCCTGGAGAAAGTTATTAATGGATATGATGGTCAGCAATACAATTTAGGCAAGAAATGTTGGCAATTCACAGATTCACAGAGTGGAA